CTTAGGTTGCTTCCATATCTTAACAATTATAAGTGATGCTGCTATGAATATTAGGGTACATGTATCTTTTCAAATTAATGTTTTTGGGGTTTTTGGATAAGTGTTTTTCTTAAAAGGGATCTGAAATTAAACACAAAATTTTCCTCCATCTGATGTATCTACTTGTTTTTAGTGATACCCAACTTATTACTATGGCACCACCTTAGTTCATGTCATTCCCATATGACAATAATTTCACCAAACACATAAAACCTTCTTCAAGGCATTTCCCTCAATCCATTCCTTTTCCATGAAGCCTGATCTAATCGTATGTCTTTTCTTTGAAATTTGTGGCATTGAATATTTATATGCTGCCCTCTATGTTGCCCATATTTCATGTGTTATCCTGTTATCTAAACCATAAACTCACATTGGCCAGATATTTTTATCTACTCACTGATATTATAAATTTATAAATAAGAGGTACTCAGCATGCTTGAATGATTTTGTATTTCTGTAATTACCATGTAATCTTGAAAAGGGTGACAGAAGATATGAAAATTGATTGCAAATTAATAGCTAGGAACCCCGGTAATGACATCATTGCAAAGCAGTTAAGAAGAATAATTTTATAAATCATAGGTAGACATTGGTACTCCTGCCAAGATAAATTTGAAATATTCTCTCTTACAATGATACAGGATTCAAAAAGAATTCACAGTTCTTTCAATGGGACAAGTTTCAAACTCATACATTTTCACACATTTACTTTTGAAACCAGCACAACAAGCAAGTTACAGTACTTGTAACTTGTGCAGCATATCAGCCACTTACTTGTTAATTTTGCAAGCAGCCGTCGGAGTCATGAAGCTGGCCAACAGAGGTTCTATAGAAACTTTGGAGACCTCTACTTCAAAGGACTGGCATGTGGCCATCTTTACAGGATTTGAGTTTCCTAAGCCACCATCCTACCCAAAGGGTAGAGTCCCAAACATTTGACTTATTCCGCAAGCATCAAGAATTTGTTAATTCTGCCAAGACCCACGAGTTTTAACACCTGCAGTCAAAAGAGGTTGAGTTTGTGTTCTACCGTAAAGTAAAAATATTTAGGTAGCTTGCAATACATTCAGCCTAAGGAACTTTATTTAGGACACTAGGCTATAACAGCAGTTTCCTGAGGAGATAAAAATGAGGAATAGGGTAAGGCAAAGGAAGAAGTTTTCTATGTCCGTGAGTCTCTTTTCGGTTTGTAAACAACAAACATTTCAACAAAGGTGAATTAAAATTATTCAAAAAAGGTCTTCCGATACTACCTCTGATGCTGAGAAAACTCAATCATGATAATGTGCTTCTTTATCCAAGAATGAGAATTTCCTGAGTCTACCCCTCCAATCTCTCTCCTCCACTCCTGGCCTTTCTTGGAGATGGTATGATGTAGACACTGTCAGTACCCAGTCTCCTTTTGATTTTATCAATGGAGTGAAAACCAGCCAGATTTCGTCTTTCTGAGGACTTTCTCTGAGGGCTGGGAGTGCAGGTGAATCAGCGTCCCCCTTTACATCCATCTCTGAAGCATTTCTTAACCCTTGCCCTTTGGATGAGCAAACTACGAGGTGCATTTTCTACATCCTGGGAGAACTAAGCTCCTGCCACAAACAGGGGTGACTGGCTTGATTGTGCACCCTTTATTGACAGACTTCCGTAGCCTTTCTCAATTTCCCACTCTCCTGCTGGGTTTTCCTGGAATCACCATGTCCTGATCAACCTTCTTGCATTACAATCCTTGTGTTAGGATCTGTTCCTGAAGAATCCAAAATAAGAACCCAAAATAACTCACTCCACAAATCCAGGAGTTAATCTTGGTGGACTTGGGGTGATCTCTTCTTCCACTGCGTGTTTCTGCTCTTCACATACCCTTACCTACTCCTCTGAAGTAGGAGATCTGAGGTCCATTCTTCTCTTCTGTTTGCTTTGACCTCATGAGCTGTGAGTACAGAACCGGTCTAAGCATTCCTGGTTCTAGCACAGTTCCCGCCCCTTATTAACTCCCTGAACTCAGCCAGGATGACCCACCTCACTGGTCGACATTTCTTTTCTTTTCTTTCTTTTTTTTTTTTTCCTTTGATAAGTAATGTTAATGGGACCCGCCTGACCACCATCACGAATTTGTCATGAGGATAACATGTGAACATGATTGAAAAAGAATAAAGCATGATAAAATGTGAAGTTAGGACATCTGTACCTTTGTTTTCACAGGGAAATTTCTCTCTGAAATCCCACTGCCCTGGTGTGACCAGCTACAGACAGGGGAGAGGCTCTGAACCATCCATTTAACCTTCCCCTTCAAGGCTTTCTCTGCACCCCACCAGTGCCAAGTGGATTTTGTAAGCAGTCCTAAGTGTGGCTGTGTTCAATCTTGTTGGAAACACCAAGAAATCTAATTCCCTTTTCACAAACCCTGCTCCAACATCTTTTCATGTTCAGCCTAAACCAGCAAAGGCACTTCCATTCTGTAAAAGGCGATCACATGTTCCCTGTGCTGTTCTGTGTGACTCTCTGACAAAGGGATCTGAGTTTTATGAATTTTCTCCTCCCTACATTCCTAACAGAGATGCGCTATTTTCCTCTGTCTTTTAAATTCAAAGAGAATATGTTGCCCAAGGCAGAGATCAGATACTCATTTTTCATGGAGCTCTCCCCCTGCTGTGGCTTAATGTAGAGAGGATGAAGCTGTGGCTCTCACATCATCTGGGTTTTAAATAACTATGACAAAAGTCTCCCTCACATGTCTTTGCCAGAATGGTGCAGAGCTCTTGAAATGAGGGACAGCTTTCAGAGTAAAGAAATGAGAAATATTTGGTATATCAGGTTCTAAGAAGTGAGGCTTCCAAAGCCTTCTCCCACTCCCAAACTCTGTTCCTCCATCCTCTTAGAGGCAGTAAGCGCTACAATGCCAGAGAGGCTTTTTCATTATACTTCCATTTAATAGCTGTGTGACCTTCAGCAAGAGCCTTAACCTTGGTGAGTCTTCATCTGGGAAATGGGTATAATAGTGACCACACCTACCCTCTGGGCAAAAATGCTTAGTTCCTGGCACACGGTAGGTTTTTCAATGAATGTTCCCTGCTGCTGTTGTCATCACCATCAGTGGTATTAATACTACTTTTTCCAAAGTAATATTATGATCATTAAGATTTTCTCCTTAGAAGAATATTTTTCCCTCCTTTAAATGGCAGGTTATTCTTTTGTTTCCAACGGTGCAGTGGTGCTGGCTCATTTGAGAATCTATCCCACTCCACAGAAAGACAAAATTTTCATGAGCATCCTGAGAATCTCCAGTTCTTCCCCTGTAATGCTTGGCACTAGCAATGCCAAGAAAAATGTGTCTGCCTATGTCTCCCTAATACAATCTTTACTTCAGTTTCTTAATCCTCTTGTGTTCAGTATTGTCAGGGAAGGTGCTTAATAAGGCAGGCATAAATGATAAGCAAACTAAGGACTTCCCCGTTTTCAGAAATTGGAGGGTACTTTTTAAATAGATAATTAATAGACTTTATTTTTTTGAGTAGTTTTAGGTGTTGGGAAAACTGAGCAGAAAGAAGAGAGGTATATAATTGTACACTTTTAAAATCAATAAAATAATAAAACAGTGATCATGAGCCACTTACAAAGAAGACTCCATCTGGCTAAGAAAAGTGCATGTCTTTTATAAAACAGCTCACCAGACAGGATTTCAGGAGAGGATTCTAGTTAAAGGAAATAACATGCAATGGCACAGAAGTGAAACCAAGTCTAATGTGGTCTCAAACTAAAGAGTTCAATTTTGTTTGCCAACAGGATGCAAAGGTAATAAAAGTAAAAGATGATGCTTAAGAAGAGGGCCTAGGGAGAACCCAAAAGACATTGAAAAAGTGTAAAGATTTTATCCTGTAGGTAATGAGGGAACTATTAAAGAATTTTGCACAGAGAAAACAACATGATTGGATTTGTGTGTTAAGGTCATTCTGCTAGCAATGTGTCAGATGGATTAAGGAAAATCAAGGCTAGGTGGGTGGAAATGAATGTGTCCACTGAAATCATTCAAATGCAATCATTCAAATGAGAACTCAAGCATTGACAGCAGGATGAAGGAGAGAATATTTTAAAACTGTTAAAGAGATGAAATTAACAGACCATGTTGGGTCATTCTAGGTGAGGACAGCATAGAAGAAGAAATACAGGATGACTCTCAGGTTCTGACTTGGGCAGTTACATTAACAATGATGTCATTTTCTCATATACAACATGTAGGAAGACAGGATATCAGAAAAGAGGATAAATTGAGTTTTAAATATATTGAGTTTGGGACAGTCAGGTAGATAGAGATATCTAATAACATAGAAGATGTACTATTCTGGAGCCCAGAAAAAGAAGTTACACCTGGAGATAAGATTTGGAGTCATTAACTAATTGTTGAGCTTTCCTAGGGTGTATGCGCTGAGAAGAAAGGGGGGGTCTAGGATCAAACTCTGGAGATCACCAATATTTATGGAGTAGCTGGAGGAAACAGCTCCAGTAGAAAAAGAACTGCGTGAAGGTGAAGTCAAGGAAGCCAATAGAGAGGAAAAGTTTTAAGAAAAAGGAAATAATCAACAAGGTTCTGCAAAACACGCTTCTAATGCATTCAGTCTCTAGAAGGTCATTGACAACCTCAGCGAGGGGGAATTTGCAATAGACTGAGGTGTGAAACGGAAATCGGTCTTATTCGTCACTGAATTCCCATCACCTAGCACAATATTGGCCATCTTTCTTTGTTTAGTAAATATTTATTGATGAGTACATGATGTGTCTTTTTCAAGGTCTCCTAACAGTGAGCAGCAGAATCGTGGCTCTTTGGTTGTGCTCAGAATGTAGCAATTCTCTTTCTCTGACCTGAAAGCTTATCTGATAGACATAATCTATACCGTTTACATTCTGTGCTCCTACTCGGTTATTCTTATTAGGATTTTAAAACAAAGTTCTTTTCTTTGTCAAATAGTTTAAAATAAAATTTTAATACTTTAAAAAAATTCTAACTGTGGTAAAAAAAAAAAAGTAAATTTACCATCTTAACCATTTTTAAGTATTCAGTTCCCTGACGTTAAGTGTATTCACATTGTTGTGCGACAGATCTATAGAACTTTTTTATTGCGCAAGACTGAAATTCTGTATCAATTGAACAACCCCTTATTTCTCTCTACCCGGCCCCTGGCAACCACCATTTCACTCTGTTTCTATGAGTCTGGCTGCTCTACATACTTCATATAAGTGGAATCCTATATACAGTATTTGTCTTTTTGTGATGGGCTTATTGTTCTCAAGCTTCAGCCTTGTTGTACAGTATAAAACAAACCTGTTTTTTAAACATGATTTCAGCCTTTTTCTCTCCAAAATTCTAAGAATCCAACACCACATTAAATCATCCAATTTCAAGTAGGAATCACGAGGGCAGAATCACAAGGGCTTGTCTATCTAGTTTGTGAGTTTCCTAAACAGGGAAGAAATCATTCTTCTTCTTGGAAATAATTCAGTGACAGGGAATCCACTAACTTTGAGGGTACTTATCCCATTTCTACAATAAGCCTCACCATTTTGAGAGTTAACACTACTGTACTCTATTCTGTTCTGGGGATGCATTCATTGAAATCCTAGAATTTGACAGAAATAAGGCAGCTATCAGTTTAGAGCACGGATTTTCCTCAAAACCTCATAACTTTCTGCAAGTCCCCTTTGTCTTCCTGGCAACCAGCCATTCTATTCCTTGTGCCATTAAA